TGCAGCAATATTTCCTTAATGATTCTGGGTGCATATTTTCACTTAGATTATGAACAAATGTTTCTTAGCGCGGGTACAATGTGAACTTCCTTCTGCCAATTCCTGCCATTTTATCTTTTAAGTTGGTTGTAAGGTTGTGAGCATCCCGTTTCAGGTCAATTATAAGCCAAGTATGTGCTCAGTGGGTGCCTAGGTAGTGCAAGTCACACCAGACAGCCCTGACTCGGCGCAGGGTCTTCCAGCTGTAATATGGAGGCGCTGGCTAGAAGCGAATTTGGGGGTACACAGCCATCTGCACAAACATGGGGGATCACTTCTGCCACTGGAAGTCCATGTTGAATATGTGCTGTAGTTGTTAGAGAAAAGGATCATGAAACACTTCAATCAGTAACCAAGAAGTAGGAAGCAATTGATGAAAACATCTTCAGTAACGAGTCTATTTAAACGCTGTACTCAGATCTAAGGGGAAACAAAAGTTTTAATCAGAAAGATGACTTGAAACAACTAAGTTTCAGTTTATTTCCCAGCCCAGCTTCTTTGCTGTTAAAGGTCAACTGCGTAGAAACTGGTAAGACATATAGAAGGGCAAAATACACTATCGCTTTTAACTATTCTGCACAAGGGAGAAATGACTGAGGGTATTTTACCTTCTTTCCTTCCCTTCTCTGTAACCAGTGGCTCAACACTCAAGGGGCTCGCGCTGCAGGTGCAAGGGGCTGTGAATCACAGGTGCAGTTTGCCTTGCCTTTCCCCGTGACCTTCCAGGTCAATAGGTTAACTTGCTTTGACCACGAATAGAGCTCCTCTTAATTTCTCCAGCACAACCTTAAATTTGATATGAAGCACTTATACAAGGAATGGTGCAGACAAGAAGGCAGCTTTATTGTACTTTGGGGAAAAAACAGAGGATTCCATTTAGGGGGGAAAAAAAAAGCCATTGACACTCAGTAAGCAACACTGCCACCTAGTGGAGTGGCGACACACCACCAAGACTTTCAAGACCAGGTATCAAATGTGCTAGGATTTGCTGGTTTAAATTTTCATCCGAAAACCGAACTGTTAGTATGTTGGTCTTCAGAGAACCTGATTTTGAGAAACTATTTGTATCTCTGAAATGCCTAAATGCTTTCTCTGCTTTTGGGGGGGATAAAGAAGAGAGGTTTTTTGTTTTTTTTAATAGACCATCAAATTCTTGATTTCAAAATTATGAAACACTGCGGTAACCTACCTCTTTGAACATCCATTACTCTTGCACTCTTGTTCGACAGTCTAAACGGCAAGATTATGACAGTTTATAAAGAAACAAAACTCAACTGTTTAAGAACTACATTAAGTTTACTCATTTCCTCTATTTTTATAATCCAGGGTGCTAAGTATTCGCATTTCACTTATTTGAATTCCTGGGTGGGGGGGAGGGAGCACTAGAATGCACCAGTAACAATTTTGCATAAATCATATAACCCAACTCTTCTTATGACAACACAGTAACAGTGGAAGATACTAGTGTGAGGATGTGGGAATGCTGTTCTTAATGAATAATAAAGTAATTCTTCTCAAGGCTTTCGTTCTCCTTTATACCCAGGTGTTGCAGTAAATGTGTTGACTTGATGACTTCTATGAGCAGCATATAAATGAGAATATTTAATGAAACACCTGGCTGAAAAAAAGAAATAAAGTCATGAGAATAACATATTGTTAATAACCACAATCTCAAATCCGTGCCTCTGTTATTACTGAGATTTTAGATTCTGGGTTAAGTGCTCTGCTCTCTTTGGAATATGCATAATGGTTATTGATCTTGCTAATGAGTTCCTCTGTTGCAACATTTGGGGGTATATGGCTGGAGGCACTGATGGATTCTAGAATGTAGGAGTCTGACAGGGTCTTCATCAATCCATATTCTTGGCAAATAAACTCAGTTACGGATTTCAGGAAGGACCAGGTTCTGGGAAAGAGGTATACACGTGTAGAGTAAGAAGTGGAATTAAAACATTTTTAGGCTGCATTTTGTCAGCAGCCACCATCAAATGTTTCAATTCTGAGAACCTGAGATTATCCAGAAAAGCAGAATTCTAAGCATAGGGTGGAAGCTATCCCAAAGTCAGAAGCCAGTGTTTTGCATTTCCCAAAGCAACATGAAATGGGGAACGGGGGGTGGTCCCTGAAGTACTAGATCTGAATGAGGTTGTTCTTCCAAGGGTTGATCTAGACTGCTTTGGTTCAGTGCTCACCACAGTCTGCAATAATCCCCTGGCTCCCACCCAGTAACAGTCCTGACTGCATCTGTCACATACTGCTCCTATTTGGGCACCCCTGAAGCCAAAGCAATAAAAGATCCTAGGGAAGGAAGCCTTATATTAACTCAAACATGATGCCAGAGTCATCTCCAAAAAAGTTTATTAGCATGATTAAAAACATTTTTTGAATAATGACAAAGAATTTCTAAACATGAAAGAGTATCAGTGGCTATACCTTATAACCAAATATTTGCAACTGAACGGACAGCTTTATTGCCAGTCTTCATTTTATTAAAAACAATCATCCATATTTATTGGTTCCATGTGAGGTCGTGACTATTGCTTTGACTGGGAATGAGTCCCTACTGTAATTAAGTATAAAAAATATCTTCCATACTTGGAGTGTGACCTGTATACTGAGTAAAGAGTTGATAAAAATCCTCAAAGAGTTGGGTTTTGTTTTTTAAAAACATTCCTTTTACACACTACAAAGAAATAATTAGTATTTTGGCTTTTTAAATTCCTACATGATATTCAGAATGGCAGTCCCCAAAGGTCCTCCCTTCACATAATCACAAACGCAGACCCTTTTCTGGAGTGTACATTCTTGGGGTGGGCGCTGAAGACTCGGGCCTCCACGTGTTTATACTGGTTTGAGAACAAAGACAGCATCATCCAGAACGTAGTAGTCATTATACATGTCGCCTTCACACAGGTATGGTAGTCTGGTGAAAGCTTCAATAACAAAACCAGCTTTTCTGAAAACTTCAGGCAGACTATTCACTTGTTCTTCCCAATTCTGTCCCTTGATTTCTAAAATTTCTGATGGTTTCTCCCACTTGCCACCTACTAAAACAAATAGAAACATTAAGTTAAATTCTTGAACAAACAAGTTATTCAAAGAGAGAAGGGAGGAAAAACAACATTTGCCAAGGACTTGGTATGTGTCAAGCACTGGGTGGTTCGATGACTCATCTCCCCGATACCCTCTGAGGAGGACAAAGAGATGAAGTATGGACCCAGAGGGCTGAGGAACTCGCCCAAGCTTGCAAGGTTAGTGAGGGTAAGAGCAGAAATGTAATCCCAGGTTTATCTGGATCCAAAGCCCATACTTTTACCTTCTCTGACAGTTTTAGATCTTACCCTCCATTAGACCAACTGGGTTGTCAGTGTTCATGGTTTTGGAGAACTCCTCATTAAATACAGGAAAATGGAAGCAGAGAGTTACCCATAAAATGTGAAAGAAGGTTTAGGGATAAATGCAAGAAAATATACCCATGATGTAGTAAATGTATGCAATGTATTAACTAGAAAGGTTTATCAGGCTGAAAATAGACTAATGAAGGCTTTTAATTTATAAAGACAGATCATTGGTGTGTTTTTCAAGGGAAGGTGATCCACTCCCTAACTTTTCGTAACACTTTTATAAAAGTTAAGCTCCAAAACCAGAGAAAGGTAGAGCGCTAGGACGGACGCGTCAGCCTAGCATTTCTTGGACTAGCGGCTGAAGTCTGAATCTGTCCCTTCCAAGCCCATGAGCATCAGATTCCTGTGGAATGGAGGTTGGGGCGCCTGGATAAGGTCTTCAGGCCTTCAAGTTCACACCAGGCATTGGGTCCAGGCACGTGGACACAAAGATAATGATGTATGTCAATTCTGGGGTGCTTTTAGGACTTGTGATGTTAAAAAAAATGCACACGTTAAAAGTATTACTAACTTCAGACAGAGAGTGGCTTTCTGTGAGAAAAGACCTTATCAATAGGTGCCAAGAGTCCAAACACTACAGTGGAAAGATCTGTCGCTCGTCTTGGTGGCCCAGCACCTGAACCCTCTTCCTAGAATGGTGTCGGAGAGGCAGCGAAGGTAGGCACTGGCACATGACCTACACTCGGACACACTCGCCTGACACGTGGGATGAAGCGCAAGTGACCCAGAGAAATGGCCACAAGACCATGCAGCTGGGACGGCATCAGGTGGTATGAACAACAGTGTGTGGTCCGTGCCACGGTCCCTAGTGCTTGGCAGCAGCAGTACACCCTTCCGATCAGTTTTACAGCATAATCTGAAGCGTCTGTCTTAGCTGGAGACCCCACACAGGATTCTCCAAGCCTCCCGTGACTGTGTGAGCTACCCTCGAATCCTTCCAGTCAATTCCCTCTCACTGAAGTCAGCCAGGGTCCGTTTCTGCTGCTTCCAGGGAAGAACCTGACTGATGAGATCTCCGTGGGGCAGGAGAGGGGGCAAGAGGGAACCACCACAGAGGGCCCACACTTGGTTTCAACAACACAGTAACAAGGGGTTACACAAATCTGAGGTACAACTCGTTAATGCCACAAATGTTTCTTCATTGTACCACGATGTACTGGTCACTAATTTTTCTCTCCTCTCTACATGAAGACACCTCCTTCTGCTTCTTCCAGCTTTCCAGTGTCACTGGCCCAGCACTGAGCACACAGTAGGTGCCCCAGCATCAGCAACCGAACGACTCTGGAAATTTAAAGTACCAATAACCTGTCAAACAATACTCTTTCCTGGGAATACACACTACGTGTAAATCAGAATCTCCCTCAAAACATCTACAAGCCCAAGAAAAAATTAACCATATGAATATTCAGAAATGTGCTCTAGGCTGAAATCTTAATTCTCAGTGGTGAAACTGGATTACAAACAATTTTTTACACAATTTCAAAAAGTTCCCGGTTATGGTTCCTTAATAAGAGTTCCTCTCTTCAGTTCTTCTTTTCTAAAGAGGCAGGAAAAAAAGAGCCAACTCTCCTCAAATGCACAGTGACCACCACCGCACGCACACACCCCAAGAAATGGAGACTGTGAAGGGAGGCAGGATCATTCTTGGCCTGGAAATCAATCTGATTCTCTTTTATGTCGGTAAGATTCTTTCTTTTCTCCTCCATTTTATCTAATCAATCACTATTCCTCACCTAATGCATTTATATTTTAAGCCCCTACAGATTAATTTTTCAATGTCTAATGCTATGGAAATGGTCTTTTTTCCCAAGACAAATAGTGTAATAAAAGAATAGCTGAGAGAAGAAGAAGATAGCAGGAGGGGAAGAATGAAGGGGAGTAAGTCGGAGGGGGAGACGAACCATGAGAGACGATGGACTCTGAAAAACAAACTGAGGGTTCTAGAGGGGACAAGGGTGGGGGGATGGGTTAGCCTGGTGATGGGTATTAAAGAGGGCACATTCTGTGGGGAGCACTGGGTGTTATGCACAAACAATGAATCATGGAACACTACATCAAAAACTAATGATGTAATGTATGGTGATTAACATAACAATAAAAAATTATTAAAAAAAAAAAAGAATAGCTGAGGAAGTTTCAGATTAACCTTGAAAATTCCCTTTGCTGCTTTAAAGAAGAGCACCTCACCAAACAAAGGGTTGAAAATGTTCTTAAAATCGCATGTGCTGGTCACAACGATGCCGTGTCTGTAAGGTAAACGTGCGCTGCACGTGACAGGCACTACACAGTACTTGCTGAATATTTTCAAAGAATAAAGTGTCTGAAAAGCCAGATTTCGGTAAATTAAAAAGTACTTGTCATTAAAAAAAAAAAAAGCTGCCATGGCTCCTTCCATAGAACATAACCATCCCATAATAGATATATTTTTTAAATTCTGCTTATACTGACTTTTTCCTCTATGAAGGAGAAAGTGGCTGTAATAATCCATCTCATCATAGTTGTAATAAAGCTAATAATCTCAGAGTTGCTCACAAAGTCCGTGTCATAGGACAGAGAAGGTAGCAAAAGCTCTTAAAATTGTTTTTTTCTCATCTGTGAAGAAATGTATCAAAATGTTAACAATGGTTATTTTGAGCACAAGGACTATGAGTGATTTCAGTAATATTCTGATTTTTTTTCCTAATCCATATAAATGACTTTCATAAACTATTTTCATTAGTATTATTTTAAAAAAGAATCCTTATTTTTTAAAGATCTACTCTGACAGATATGAAGACAGAATATCTGAGATTTACCCAAAAATCATGTGGGAGTGAAGGAGCAGGTGCGGGGGTGAAGGAGCAGGTGCGGGGAGAGGCGAGACAAGACTGGGGCAACAAGTAGCAGGGAGTTCACCATGATAGCCTGCTGCTTCTGCGTATGCTTGAAATTCTCCATGTGATGAAGTGTCAAAAATCAGTTTTCTATTTATTTTCCAGCCTGGATCACAGTAAAGTGATTTTTTTAAGAGGGGGGCGGGGGAGGGACTGAGGGAGAGAGAGAATCGAAAGTCAGACGCTTAACCGACTGAGGCACCCAAGTGCCCCTAAAGTGATCTTTCTTTTATTCCCTCCACCAAGAAGATAAACTTTCAGCCATTGCAGAGGGTACTGCATTTAAAAAAAAAAAAAAAAGAATCCTACAGGATAAGAGAATTCTTAAAGAGAAATTCTTGCAGGGCTAGGCTTGGTGTGACCCAGTACCCAAACTTCTCTTTTGCAAAGAGGCTGTCTCACTGGTGCAGGGGAGGAGCAGCTGTTTCCTCACCCATCAGCCCTCTCAAAGGAAATCCTTGACCCCTCTTCTCCGACACTGAGACTAACCGTTCAGAAGTCGGAAGTAAGTGGAGACATGAAACTACAAAGTTGCAAATATTTCTTCTTCCCTGGAACATTAGTTCTCCAAAATTTTTTCTTCCCTTTTAAGACTATCTGAAAAAGGACTTCAGACTGAGATGCTGTCAGTTAACTGTTAGATCTTGGCAGGCCCAACTCCATTTGAAACCCCCAATATATATTGATCATTATAACTTGCAAAGTGTTTGTACTTCTAATGGGGCTGCCTTTGAGTAGGAGACATGAGGCTGTATTTACCAGACTTAGGAGTGAGTCCAATCCCTCACCTGCAGACGAGTGAGGAGCCTGCTTGTCTTTCTCCAGGTGACCTTACACTCTCCTCTGGTCTATATTTATCAGGTCATTAAAACACTCCCAGCTCATCTCAGATCGTACATATACTAAAATTAAAACATGTGGAGAATATATCTGCATCGCAAATGCCATGATTCTAATTTTAATTTATCTTCTAGTTCTGGATGAAGACTAAGAAAACCATTAAGTCAAAAAACAAAACACAAAAATCTTGTCTGAAATTCAAGCATCAGACCACTTGGATTACTTTTCAATTTCATTTACAGTAGCAAAGGACAAACTCAGACAAATAAGACCATTTGGAACACATAATCAGGCAGAAGTCAAACTAAAAACTTGCATAAATTCCAATTTGTCTCAACCAATACTATTTTACGTAGACCCTCCCTTACCCCAAAAAGAGTTTAGAGCAGATCTTCCCATCTATAAACCTCAGAGTGGCTTTCCACCTCACGGGCCTGGGATTAGAAGGCCAAGATGGGGACCCAGGCAGTATAATGTGGATGAAGCATGCGGCAGAGAGAGCACTAGACGTGGTGTCTAGTCCCGGGCCTGCTAACGCCCGCTGAGACGCCCGCTGAGATACCCACAATTATCCCTAAAACGGGCATGTGACACCATGGGAACAGGAGAAGTGGAGACAGGTGCGGCAGCAGAACTAGCTACCTTTTATTAAATTCTTATTAAGGCTTAGCCAACTAAGTATTCCTTATGCATCGATGGCCTCACTTAAACCTCCCACTAACCCCCTGAGCTGCATATACTATCCCCACTTTGCTACAGACCACAGAGCTAGGATCTGAACTCAAGTCTGTGCTCTTTATCACAACACTGTTCATCAAACAAGACAGAAGCTACCAGGGACTACAAAGCAGGGTGCTGGTGCAGGGAAGAAATCAAATCTGCTCACTGTGGCATGGCTAACTCATTAGGTCTCGGCTTGGAAACCAAATATGCTGGAGGCTAAGCCAGGGCTGTATTTCCCCAGGTGTGCACCTTGTCTTTTATGTTTCCTGTAGGGACAACCAGGCTTACAAAGGAATAATTGTGAATTGCCACGAATTCCTAGCAATCCCAACCCTCACAAGGCCAAAGATAAAGAAAATCCCTTCACTCATGTGCTCAGTCAGCAGCGACACTTGCGCTGACCACACCGCTCCTGGGAGGCCGGGGGTACAGATGGGGCAGGACGTTTAGCGATCAAGGGAAAGCTTATAAGGTCCCCAAGAGTAAACTTGGGGACCCCAAATTCCTGACTCCAGATCTGCCACCACCTCTGCCTGCAACGCTGACTCTACTGGCACCTCTCTGTCCCCAAGTAACCAGACATCACAGCTGACAGCAGGATAAGGTCAGCAAGTGCGAGGGGTTAGGAAAAGTGAGGACCACCGCTGTCTTATTAGTATAGTCTTGTCTGTGCTGAGGAAGCGGTAAGAAAAAGAAAGGACTCTGGAGTTCCCTAGCCCTCAAATGTCAGTGAAACAGAAGCACAGGCAAAGGGAAGTGAGAAGCCTCCTAAACATGGCTCGTGCGCTTCCTCCCACAGGTGCTACATGTGAGTGTATGGTCTTTGTCCATCAACCGCCTTACCTCGAAGTAGCCCACACTCAAGGGGCCGCGACCATTCAGTGTTCCTTCTCCCACACGGGGTGCCCTTCAAAGCAACCAAAAAGCCTGTGGTTTCGCTACGGCGCGGACCAGCCTGAGAACCTATGCTTCGATGGCTGCACCGGCGATGCAGGCAAATTCACAGTGAAGGAAGCCCTAACAGAAAGAGCAGTCTCCCTCACTGTAAACAGGGTGGCTCTGAATGACAGCGCCATCTACATCTGTGGAATCGTCTTTCCCAACTCAAAGGAACCAGGAGCTAAGCGGACCGGAGAAGGGACCATACTGGTGGTAAGAGGTCAGTCAGCTGAGGCTTTGCTCAGCCCTTTAAATGCATTACGTTACTTATATGCCGAGATGAAGGGAAAGATGTGCTAACTCAACACCCTAGCCAGTGAAGGGCATGATCTGACACAAGCTGACAGGACACTGAAGCACTACTCCAATCCCATCTCCCAGCCTCCACAGACACAAAGTCAGGGCTCTGTCTCTCTGTGACCAGACTCTACTAGCGCAGGCTGGCCAACAGGTCCTCCTTTTGTGAAATGATAGTGACTGGTAATGTGCCAAGTCCAAAGGGAAACTTGGGATGATTAGAGAGCAGCTTGTTCAGGAACTGGGCTGGCATTGCACTATCTAGAACAAAGCATAAGTGACCAATAAATTGGACCCGGGGGAAAAAAAAAAGGCAGTATGGAGAATAAACACAAATTAGAGGAGAAGCCACTGGAGGACCTCTGACCCCACCCATTCTACACGGACAGAAAAACAGAAAGGGATCGGTGTGACACTGACTTCTTGAGATTTGCTAAAACCTATGACAATTTCCTCATTCAAGTGAGGGTCTTGAACCTAGCTACATCCTATAAATCAAGAAATTTCAGGAAAAAAGCTTCACACAATTCTGGGGGAAAGAAGAGAAGGGAAATAGTCCTTGACTTTTTTGGATCTCTTCCATTAGAAAGGACTCTGGTACGAGGAGCACTGAAATCATTAAAACATTAACTCAAAATCAACCAGCCCTACCATTTTAAAATAGGACTTTGGGGACCCAAGATCATCCTGTATTATAATTCCTGCTTTTAATTACTAGGGGTATTCTAATGGGCTTTTGGTATCCCATTGTCATTGAACCTTAGTTTATTCTCACCCATAAGATAAATTATAAATGAGTTAATACATATAAAGCACTTTTGATGATGCCTGGCTTATAGCAAGTATGCTTAAATAAATGTCAGCTACAGATATTAAAACAAATATACAACAACTTTGGAGACCTGTATTAATCTTCTATAAAAAACATTAGCCAAAACTAAAAATAGTTTGTAAAGAGATGAAAGGTCTCAAGACTGCAAGTTCATGTGAAGACAGATTCTTCTCTAAGAGCAGAAATGGAAGTATTACTAAGACACAGCGATTTCCTGCCTCTTCTACAGAACTCCTAATTTAGCACTTGAAACTTTTAAAAAAAAATTTACAGATATGGCTAATTTGTTACAAAAATGTATGCTGTACAAAGTGAGTTCACAGAATGAGCATCTATGGGATATTTCGTTGAAAAGTACAAGTTGTTCAGATAATAATTACAAATCTAATTGTATTTTGTGCCTTAAATAATCAGGTAATAGAAGACATGGCATGTTGCTCTATCCCCACCCAGAGCATGGGACACTTCCTACAAGGAGGGAGAAATTCAGAATGTAAAAATGGATTCAATAATTCTACTTCCAAAACTTTATTAGAAAGAAGGGGCACGTGTAACAATGCCTGTCGTTTAAAGGTGTCATAAGCCCTAAGACCCTCCACGTATGGCCTTCTCAGATTCTTGAACAGACTGCACTATTCAGTTGTTTATACGAAACAGTTCAAGGTTACAAATGTCAGCATTCACAAATACATGGCAAAAATATCTTAACTCCACGAACAGACAGACTGTTGGCGACCCTTGTACATCATTTCTATCAAAAGAAATTTTAAATGTCCTTGAACAAACTGTCCTAAAATGTTTATCTAACTTCAAATAATGTGTTATATAAAAAGTGATTCTGAGCATTATGACAAGTAATTAATTGAATTTAAAATTTTTTTAGTTTTCAAAATGAGTAACAATTTTGGTATAACATATTTAAAGAACTGATGAACTGGTTTTAATTCTATCACATGCTTGAGGGTCTTCTGAATCAAGAGACCCTGAATAAATGTTTAAAGAAGAGCCAAGGGGCGCCTGGGTGGCTCAGGTGGTTAAACGTCTTCCTTCGGCTCAGGTCATGATGCCAGGGTCCCAGGATCGAGCCCCTCTTCGGGCTCCCTGCTCAGCAGTGGAGTCTGCTTCTCCCTCTCCCACAGCCCTTGCTCCTGTACTCTCTTGCCCTCATTCTGTCTTTCAAATAAATAAATAAAATCTTAAAAAAAAAAAAAAGAAGAGCCAAGCAGAGCAGTTCATGTTTCACCTCTAACACTTGTAGCACCAGTTATACTTTATGTATGTATTTGCAATATGTTTCAATAGTGACTGTGGCTCTTTCTGTTTTTGTAATTAACAAAGAAATGAAGGAACTACACAGCCCCCTGATAGCTGCTGTGTCAGTGCTCTCCATCTACGTTACTGGTGCGCTTGTGATCTTCATAATCCTTTCCAAAGTAAGTCAAATTTCCTTGCACTAGATGTCCCTATAGCCTTGAATATTATCATAAGGAAATGATTTCCATCTCCCCACATGTGAGCCTCAGAAATTGCTCACCTAATTAACATCCTCCTGTACATCTGCAGGAAACACCACCTGCAGGAACAGTCTATGGAAGTGTAAATTCTCATGACTGAAATTATTACTAATCAGAGTACAAAATTTGCAATGGTTTCTCTTTAAAACCAGTAATATAAGAATAAGAAATCCTTTATAAACTATCTTATTTGCGATCTTTCCACTGGGAAGCATTACTGTTATCTATAAAAGACCTAAGAACAGCCTTTAAGAGCAAAAAGGGGTTAACAAAGAGACTAGAAGCTGCCTTAAAATATTTTTAAAAGGCCTAAAGTTTTTGAGAAGGAATATCTTCTGGCTGTTCATAGGCTATAAGAGGGGGTACATACATGCTATATTAGGATCACAACAAAGCCTATAGTCAACATATGAATTATTTTATTAATATAATAAAAGCATCTCAGGAATTACATAGAAATTAACTCTAACTGTATATCATTTAAATGTTGTTAGTTTAATCTTAATATGGTACAAGATATCTGCCACAACTGTTTTGAGTGCATAAAATGTCTCATAAGACTTTCCTTTTCTTCTTTACAGTCAAAATCTAACGCTTTAAGAAACAAAGAAACAGAAAATTCACAAAAGGTACAGACCAACGCTTGTAAAATACCTTTCAAACGGTGGCTGGTTGTAATTATTTCAAACCCAAAATAATGAAAAAATTACAGAGAACATGGTAATTTTCAACCACAGAAACCATTTCTTATTACTGAGAAACTCAAGGATAATCTCAAGTGGTAAACTATGTGATTTAAATGTGATCATTCTCAACCATAAATCCTACCTAACATACTCAAAATACAAGAGTTAATGGTCAGTGTAGCTATACTGGGGGTTGAGGGTGTTGGGGGGGTGGTAGTGTCTCTGACTGGTGGCAGTAAAGAAAGACAAAGTTCAGATGAAGTGCAATAATCATCTCTTCTCCTAGGAGAGATAGGAATTTTTTCTCTTTTGTGTTTACAGAAGAAGAGTGCCCGATGTATTTTTCAGGAAATTGCTCAGGAACTATATAGTAAGAGACAGGTGGAAACAAGACAACAACTTGTGAGTGTAAAATATCAAAGACATGTAATGCAGATATAAAGCATGCTTGAAAAAGCTAAGCCACCAACAAGCCATCAATAATCATGTTTTCCTATAGAGGAATATGAAAGAGGACTTTCATATAGAATACATTTTTATATAGAACCTGTTTTGATAAATACATAACAAAGGACATCTGATACAATATTAAATAGAGACCAGGTTGACATCTTAGTGACATGGAATCTTTCAGAAACACACTGGATATAGGCAATGTTTTCAATTCAGACAAGAGTGCTTTTGTGGATTAAAAGATCCTTGCATGCATGCAGTAGCAGGCAATAAGTAAATGTTGCAAACAACTGTGGGTCAAATTATACAGAAAACATCACTTATTGCTAAGAAGGCAGAAAAAATTCACATTAGAAAAGAGGAGCTATTGAAAATAAAAATCAAGTATTTCTTCAGTCTGGGGTTAGAGTGGCAGGAAGAATGCATTCATATTATCTGTGAGATATCTGACAGTGTCTCTTTAAAGTCCTTTATAACAGGTTTTTCAAACAAGATGCTGTTTTAGTGCTAGTGGAACAAATAGTTACGAGGGTGCACAATCAGGCCGCTCAGATTTAAATTAAAGTGTATACTATAATATAATGAATTTATACACAACTAAGGATTTTTTTTTCTTAAACAGCTGCCAAGAGGGCAAATGTAACAAGGGTCTGATATGAGGTGTTGTGTTTCTTTTCTATTTTTTTATTTTATTTATTTTTTATTTTTAAAGATTTTATTTATTTATTTGAGAGAGAGAGAATGAGAGAGAACGAGAGGGAAGAGGGTCAGAGGGAGAAGCAGACTCCCTGCTGAGCAGGGAGCCCGATGTGGGACTCGATCCCGGGACTCCAGCATCATGACCTGAGCCGAAGGCAGTCGCTTAACCAACTGAGCCACCCAGGCGCCCGTGTTTTTTTTTTTTTTTAATACAACTTTTAAAAAGGATTTTCATCCAGGAGAGAGTGTGGTCTAAGCAGTCATTTCATACTTCAGTGTGTATACAAATACGTAAAGAAATGGTCTAATCACCTAAGATATCACTCTGAATAATTATGAATGCCTGTTCACTCTTTCCTTATTGAGGCCGGACCATCTTTTTCTGCAAACAGACAATGATAAGTGTCCTGAAGACAAGTCTAGAAGTACGTACTGTTGTTATGTAAACCAGAACTCTCCCAACAGCATCTCAAAATCTCAAATCCAGACTGGAAAACACTACAGGCCAAATAATCCTGTTGCTTCTACAACAATATGGACAACAAAAATGCAACTGAAGGGAATCTTAATATATATATAATAAAGAATAAAAAAATGCTAAAAAAAAAAGAAAAATTAATTTTCAGTTCCACATCTTACTCTAAATATAGGAAGAATAGTAACTGGACCTTTAAGATTACTGGAGGCTACTTGGGACACAGAATGCAAGAGGGCATACTAGTTTATATGTTGCTTACAATGGGACATCATTGGTTATATAACCTTAAATATGGCTTGTTACTTACTCTTGCAGGAGAAAGGCAGCAACACTTACGAAAACAGAAGAGCACTTTCCAACTATGAAAGACCATAGAAATGTTTTAATTTCCAATTAAGTCACTGAAAGTCCAAATCCAGAAGTTATGACAGTGTTATTGGACATACGCCCATCAGGGCTTTAAAAAAACAATCAAAGGCAAATGGAAGACAATTCTCCACAAGGAAGGATGCCACAGTACAAAGAAACTATCACTAAAAGTAATTACCCGAAATACTAAAACCCTACAAAATACAACTGAAAAATACTTTCTAACTTGCCAGGAGAATTCTGAGTAGTCTAGCATTTAAAAAATTTCCGTTTTCCTAACATATATCCTCTATTTGTGTCATTTGACATACGAGGTATGTGAGGACTCCTACCCTGAAGATTAGAAGTCACACCACATGCTTCTGTCTGCCTCTGTCTTGAGTGGAAGAATTGTCTTTATGGTTCTGGAAGTGATGGGCCAACGAGACTAAGATGGGAGGGAGAGGAAAAAGGAAGGGAAGTGCCAAAATTTGAGTTAAAAAAAAAAAAAGGGGAAGAAGAAAAGAAAAACCATCTTGCAAAGTACCTTGGAGCGAATACTGTTCTCCTGGTATTGCCACTGGGTAACAGTAGAGTGCACATTTTCCTGCCTGCATATGCAAAATGACTTACATCATGCTACCCACAAAAAGTGAAAATAGAGTAAGAATATGATTGCTAAAATACAGAAGCTCCGATGCGGGAGGTTAAACAGAAAACCTCAGAACCTCAGAAAACAGAAGCCCCAGCCAACTCTAGATGTCAGTGTTGGGCCAAATAACAGCACCAGGGAAGCAGTGGGCAAGACACTGTTTGCCCGTGCCTTTGCAATATTGATTTTTAACCAATTTAGGAGGGGAGTATCAGATAAGGGGTGGGGTCCAGCAAAGATGTTTATGGAATCATTACTATGTCACTGAGAAAACATACTATGGATTGTTCTTTGAAAGCTACCTCATTGTAAAAATCTATTTAAAGTACCCACAATTCGTTATTAAAAATGAATTATAACCTACTTTTATTTCATTAAAGTGTTTCCTTTAAAATGGTATTAAATGAGGTGAATTCTATTTTTAAAACCCAGAATTTTAAAATATTTTAAGATCCCTATGAAAATGTTTTGCAGTGATGGCCTGAGTCAGTGTAATCACATGTGCCAGGAAAAAATGGAAAGAAGAGAGAGGGGGGAGCGTGTGTTTCTATATATATGTGTGCGTGCCTATGTGGTGCATTTGTGTGTGTTGGGTATAGTGTATATGTGTACATGTATGTGTGTAAATTAAACAACTGGCATAAAAAGTCATAGAAATAGAAATGTTAATGTTTTCTTCCTATAACCCAAAATAAATGGTCTTGTGTTCTCCTGGGTGTATAGCCCTACTTTGAGACTGCTGGCTTGGATGAAATAAATGAATTTCTAAGCTAGATGGCAAAAAAAGGGTAAGCACTAACTATCCAGGTAAACAGAATGTGTTAGATTAGATCATTTACTTTTCATTTCTGGAGTCATTACATTTTGGTACTCCCAGGGCTGAAAATACACTGTTCTTTGTGTAACTTAACTAACAGACAAAATCCCTAAGATAAATTAGTATTTGATTTAGAATAAGCCTTACCCAAAGCAACAAGGACTGTGTTTCCAAGACTGCTGTTTAAGCTGAAATTGGGATATGTTCTTCTTTGGGAAAGTAGTTACATTCCCTTAGGTCATATATATCAGTTATTGACGTATATATTAATAGTCATTCTTTTATTCATCCATCTGGCCAACAACATCTACTGGGTACTAGACTATTATCCAGTCAAAGGCCTTTCTTTCATGCCACCCTTGGGCCACACTGACCTTGTCCTTCCCTAATCCCACCTTGTTCACACTCTTCATGCTTTTGCATATGCTGTTCCCTCTGCCTGGTAAAATGCTTCTCAGATACAAACACAGCTCAAATGTCACCTCCTACATGAAACCTTCCATAACCTCCCCTAGCTGTTAATGGGTCTTTCCTTCTCTAAACCCATAGTACTTCGTCATATTTCTTATCAGACTATCCTGCCATTGTCTGCTTACATCTATCTTCTGTATGAGTCTCTAAATATCTTAAGACTAGAAGCAAGTTTGTCATTATCTTTGTATTTCCACTGCCTAGCGTTGCCTGGTCAAAACTAGGCACTCCAATGCATTTATATGAATACAAATGAACACTGTTTCTATAGAAAAATATTTTTTCAGCATGTCAACTGAGATATGAAGCACAATTCACTCCCTAGCCATCAACCCTCACCCCTCACTGTAAGCAGAGTCCCTGGCAGTATTAATTTTCCTACTAGCTGAGCATCCAGAATCTTCACTGGAAAAAATTAAGCTATAGCTTTCTGTTTAGAGGATTAGTTTCCCATGACAATGAGAAGAGAATAAACTGAAACTACTCCCAACAAGAGGGAAACAACAAAGACGTGGTTCTAGTAGTGTCTATACACCCTACCCTCTGGACAAGAGCACTTAAACCACATACCAAAAGATGTTAGCAGGATTTTCAGAATAGGTAATTTCTTTTTCTCTGCTACATAAGACCTGAGTGAATCGGAGACCCCTGGCTCATAGGCACAGGGTGAAGACTCTGGGGGGTCAAGTCACATAAACCAATGGAGACTGTACACACTTGGAGACAAAGTTGCGATGCCTAATGAAGTCATCAAATGATGATGATTACTGTGAAAAGAGTGAGGTCTCAAACAGACCTGAAGGACACTGAGAAATATTTCAAACTGAAGGACTGTGAACAAATAGGATCAATAAAGCCACAAACAAAAACGAAGTAACAGGACAGAATGGGATGACCTATATCTAACGCGTATTAAATATCAACACTGAGACAGACACGGTAGGGCACTCTCCTATACATTAGATTCTTTAATACTCAGGACAAACCTTGAGGTAAGGATTAGCCCCACTCTTAGAGAGGAAACACTAACCTTAACAAGAGGCCCGTGTTTCAAACAGGGCCAGCCCTCAAAGCCCAAGCTCTTTTCCATGCAACAGTCCTACCAGAGTCTTGCTTATTTCTATTTAGACTTATGGGAGTTTTAAGACTAAATATGCCTAATTTAACCAGAACAATGACCCTAGAAGAAAGTAAGAAAGTTGCCAAAGTCTACGTCTCAACAGGCACAGGCCTCGCTGGTTTCCCAGGAGAATTCTACCAAACTTTCCAAGAACAGAGAGCCACATGCAATTTAAATTGTCCCAGCGCATGGAGAAAAAAAAGTTGCAAATTATTTTTTACAAAGCCAGCAGAACACAGATACCAAAACATGACGAAGATAACATCCTCCAAATAAAGATCAGATATAAATCAATTATTATTCGTTAATATTTTGCTAATATATTTATTCAGAAATTCTGTAAATACAATCTAGCAATGAGTTACAAGAAGACTATCCCATCTAAGCCCAGAAATGCAAGGGTGGATACACAGTATACAAGTACTATTAATTTAACAAGTCAAAGGAGAAAAAAGAGAATGACTATCTCCATAGATATGGAATATACAGGTAATAAAATTCAACAGCGATTCCTGACTTTTTAAGCTCTTAATGAAACAAGATTTAAAAGAATATGTATTTCAAGCCAAACAACAGCAATCTCAAGCCAAAAGACAGCATCATATTTAAAGTAGAAATATTCTCATTAAAGTAAAAAACAGGACAAAAATGCCTACCATTTTTAAAAACATTTTCTGGAATGAACTACCAATTCACTTGGGCAAAAAAGGTTTAAATATGAAAAGTAAGTAGCAAAACTATTTGCAGATCAAGGAAACACGAGAGAATCAATACAGAAGCTACTGAAGACAATAAAACAATTTAAAAATGTAAATGATTACAAAATTAGTATATACTCAAAAAATCAATTCCTTGGGTATGTACACCTACCAATCATTCTAAAATATGATGAAAGAGCCATCTGCAACAACATGGATGAAACTGGAGGACATTATGCTCAGTGAAACGAGGCAGACACAGGAAGACAAACACTGCATGATCTCACTCATAGGTGGAATCTAAACAAGTCAAACTCGTAGAACCAGACTGTAGAATGGTGACTGCCTGGAGCTGATGGGTGGGGAAAACAGGGAGACATTGGTCAAAGGGCACAAACTTCCAGTGATGAGTAAGTTCTGGGGATCTAATGTACAGTATGATGACTACAGTTAATAATACTATACTGTACACCCGAAGTTTACTAAAAGAAGAGATCTGACTTAAGTGTTATATCACACACAAAAAAGAGTAACTATGTGAGGTGGGTGCATTCATTAGATTGTAGTAATAACTTCACAACGTATACGTACATTAATCATCACGCTGTGCACCTTAAATACACATAATTTTTGTCAATTTCCCAAAAGCCGGGAAAAAGTTTGAAAGTTAAAAAAATGATAGAAGAAAATTTTCTATTTAACAATATCCCACCCACAAACACACCATTAGAATAAATCCAAAAAAACTGTGTAGGACCTTTATGAAGAAAATTTTGTTACTAAAGAATTGAATAAAATGAAAGGCACATCCTATTCTTAGCTAGGAAGACTCAATACTCCCTAAATTAATATATAAATTAACTAAGTGCTACAGTTGATCCGTTAAATAAAATAAGCCAACAAAAGTCTGCAAAGGAACTGCTAGAAGGGGCCTGGTGCTCTGACATGAAAATGTATGCCAAGTTACAGTAATGACAACAGTTTGGTATTGGCACACACCGAAGGATGAATCTTAATAAAACCAAACCCATTCGGGACTTCAGTCTATGATAAAGGTAGCATTTCAAAGCACTGGGGAAAAGATGATTATTCCATAAATGGGGTTAAGATCCCAGGCTAGCTATCTGGAACACTGTTTTTCACAAGCACTTCCACCTCCAGAAATGGATCACACAGATAACCTTAGACCTAACTTCCTTCAGGTTTGTGGGGTTTTTTTAAGATTTTATGTATTTGACAGAGCTTATGCTCTCTCGTTCGCTCTGTCTC